TAACCTGCAGACACTGTAGCCCTCACCTTTTATCAAAGAACTTCTCTTTGCAACAGACAGAGGCTATTACAGAGATCTACAACTGGTCAAAAGGCAAAGAATAAATAACCACAGGCTTTCTAGCCTCAACTGGTACAGCTTATATATAAGGCTCAGGTAACATATCAGAAATAAAGGGTGGAATAATTATAAGAGCCAGAGGACCAGGACACCTGGTGCGAGTTAGCATTTTCCAAACATGATAAGGAAACAACCCATGAAACCTCAACAATGACCATACCAGTCAACATAATGGCCATACCAGTCAACATGCCAACATGGGGATGAGAGAAACTTCATAAGGCCTCATCCCAAGATGAAGAACTACAGGCAATCAGTGACTACTAAAGGAGGGAGAATCAGTTTTCTCTAGGGACGAGCTCTCTCATAGGTTATCCAATCCCATGTGGTCAGACCTGAATGCATGTACATATGAACACTGACTCAATAGGTTGTTTGCACATGCATACACACACACACACAATAATAATTATAGAAGATGTCATGAATCTGAGAGTGGGAAAGGAAGGGAGATTTGGGAAGGAGAGAGAGAGATAGGGAAATAATGTAGATACAGTGTAGTCATGTATGAAATTCTCAAAAAATTTAAAATTTATATCAAAACATATCCCAAAAGATCAGCCTACTCCTCGCTGGTCCTGTCTCCTCCATATCCATAACCATGTCAGCCTTCTTAAACTCTAAGCTAAGTAAGACCTTTATTTTCTTGCCTAAAATACAATGATTGTGGTACACCATATTCTCAGTTCTGCCAGGACCCTTGGATTCTCGTGGGACTTTCCTAGCCTGGCCTTGATGCATTCCCTTTCTCACACCTCCTTGCACCCACCATCTCTACTCTGTTAGGACTCTTGTAAACACTCAGATTCTGATGCTTTCCCAGACCTGCCTTGATTAATGCATCTCTCAACTCTCAGTAGAGAAGCTTCCTTATGCGACAGATGGTGGTTAGCACAGAAACCTGCAACTGGCCAATGTGCAGAGAATAAGAGGTCACAGGGTGCTTATCCCTGAATAGCACACCTGCATCAAACTTCTGCCTCCAAAAGTTCAGGGATCATTGTGCAAGAGGGGACAGAGAGATTGTAAGAGCAAAAAGAGGTGGATGACCACAAGGAATCAGTTTTCCAGTCCACTGGGCAGTTACTCATATGAACTCATAGCAATACTGAGAGTATGGATAAGTCTCATGTAAGCGCAAGTCAGACCAAAATCCTAGCAAAGACCTGGAGAAAGATAAGAAACCCCAACCCTACCTGAGGAGCTACTGGCAACTGATGACTGCTGGGAAGGTGTGGTGATTTGAATGAGACTGTTCTCCAAGGCTTTAAATATCTGGACATTTTGTTCCCAGTTGGTGGCACTGTTTTGGAAGGTCTTAGAAGATGTGGCCATGCTAGGGGAAGCACATCACTGGCTTGCCAGCCTTCTAGTCTTTCTCTGCTTCCTGTGCCTACTTGAAGATGTGATCACTCATCTTTCTACTCCAGCCACCTCTGTAACCATGCCTCCCCCCGCCCACCATTATGAATTCTTACCCCTAAACGCAAATAAATTCTTCCTTCTATAAGTTGCCTTGGTCATGATGCTTTATCACAGCAACAGAAAAGTAATACAGAAGGGGAGATTCGGTCTCATTTAAGGATAAAACTCTTAGTAGGTTGACCAGTTTCCAGTGGATAAAGCCAAAGGGCATTTGGAAACTCAAACCTGACTCTATAAACCTTTATATTATATATATTATATTACAATGAGATCCTCTCTGAAAAAAGTCAAGACAGCACAACAAATATATTGGTAAATTTTGGAAGGCTACATGGCTATAATCAGTTCACAAGCCTATTTGTTGTTGATCTCTCTGTCCTGCCACATGTGTATTGGTGCCCACAGAGGCCAGAAAAGGGCATTAGATCCTCTGGAGCTGGAGTTACAAGCTGTTATGAACCGTCTGAGGACCTCTGCAAGAGAAGGAAGTGTTCTTAACTGCTGAGCTATCTCTCCAACCCTAATTCGACATTTTTATTTTTATTTTTTTATTTTGGTCTTTTCTAAAACAGGGTGTCCTTATAGCCTCAGCTGGCCTGGAACTCACTATGTAGAACAGGTTGGCCTCAGACTCACAGAGATCCACCTGCCTCTGCCTCCCGGGTGCTGGGATTGAAGGCATGCACCACCACGCTTGGCTAACTCAACATTTTTTAAAGATTTTATTTTTCTTTATGTATGTGTGTGTGCATCTGTGTGTGAGCCTGAGCATGTGTATTCTGGGAACCGAACTCAGGTCCTTTACAATAGCAACAAGTGCTCTTAACTGCTTAGCCATCTCTCCAGCCCTTACCTAATTCAACAAATATTTTGGACACCTACTAAGTACCAGGTCCTAAGCACTGGGGAAATAAGCAATGAATACAACCAACAAAAACATCCAACTTCTTTAGATGACAAAAATCCCCCCTCCCAAAAAAAGGGGTACCAGAAAGGTGGCTTACTGGGTAAAAACAATTGTCATTCAAATCTGTTCCCCCATGTGGAAGAGAGAACAGATTCTCAAGAATTGTCCTCTTACCTCTACATGTACCATATGTGCCCACACTTAAACACATCATACATATACACAGTCATAATCATAATCATAATACTATAACAACTTTTTAAAAAGAATGAGGGAAAACTGTGGCATGAGGGGTTTGTAATTTTCAATTTGGTGGTCAAGTAATATCTTGAAAAATGACATTTAAGAGAAGCTTGAGGGATAAGAAGTGATGGGAAAGATTTTCCTAAGTGGGCAACTTCAAAATAAAAAGACAACTTAGAAGAGCATCCATCATGTATGTGTGACTGCTGGTTGTCATACTGACTAATCCTGCATAAAACAAATGAATATCAGCACTTGGGAACGCTGGAGCTTCCCCAAATAAGAAATGGAGGCTTCCTTAAGGAAATGGAGGGTTAAAGGCTTGTTGACACCACCTGCACCTGAGCTTAGTCTTTATTGCATTTCTCATATCAAAATACATGTGAATCCCTTCGATTATTAGCAGTAATTTTTTAATTATATTACATGTTGCAATAAGATTACCATCTTTCTTCACTCTACTAAAATACCAGGAAGAGAAAAAGTTGTTTTTATGAAGAATGATTATCCAGATAACTCTGTGCTTGATGAGGAAAACTAATTTGAATTATATGTTTTGCACCTAGAGAAAGCACTATATGGCTTTCCTGCTTTGGACTATCTGGATGAGTGCTTTATGTATATGAACAATTCTGATTTTCTTAAGAATCAAATCGTCAGTGTATCAAAATGTATCTAAATGTGCTATTTTCAATAACTACAGTCCAATGGAATATAGAATAATTTACTTTTCTATATTACAAAAATAACACATAAAGTACATTTTATATGTATTTACATATATATTTATGTGAAAAATGTATATAAATAATATATAGAACTATATATAAACTAAGTATAGTCATATGCTGCATAATGTCTTATATAGACAGTTCACATATTGTATAGTTGTTTTACATCATAGTTGTTTTAATTTGCATATATGTACCTCACACT